ATTACGAGTAAGTTTGCATAACTTCTTTGTATAGGTATCCCAACGGGGAGACTTCATCGATATATTTTTTATCACCAAGTAAACAGGACATTTTTCCTACGTATCGCGAAAGCAAACATCTAAATTTAGTCGGGTCATCGAAATTTAAATTGCAGGGGGACTACTTTTATTATTAGCTCGAGCATTCTAGACGGATCGAACTGTCTGACACTTATTCTGGTGTCTATTATCAGGATTAGTCTCTTCGACACGCTCCAGTTATAACGAGTTTATACGAATATATAATAAGGAATCTTCAGACATTGTTAAATGATTTACATTTGTTTTTAACACGCAAATGATACCGGATTTTAAATAAGACGAACAAAACATCATCCCTTAGTAAACCGATTGTAATTTATATCGGGGATTTCACCGTATTCTTCGTTCCACTACTTAAACGATACTCGGTAGTTTTCAACAAAATTATATAAATACTCTTGATCCTCGGTGTATAAAGAAAAATTCTTCAATCTTTGAATATATATCCAACGAATACAACAAATTCTACTACTTATGAGAAAATAAATTGAAAAGAAAATAATACGAATTAATTTATAAATTATAGCATACATATGTACACATTAGAAAATAGTTAAAATCAAGATTCTAAATATCAATAAATATAATATTTACATATGTATCTATTTTAAGGTACAAAGAAAGTAGCGTAGAAAGAAAATATTGGTTAAGAATGACAATAAGGTCTAAAGAAAAGGATCGGTAGATGTAGAAGCGTAGTGGCGCCTTTCTGACGCCCACAAGTTAGACGTCCTCTTAAGTCAACCAGTTTCAAGTGAAGGATTTCTATTAGCCAACGAACCATCCAAGTTGACCCTCTCTTTACTCTTGGAAATTTTGTTGATCTCGACATCAACAATCAATTTTTAACTTATTCTGACCAGTGTTCAAATTTACCCGAACATTTCTATTAGTTAATACAATATAATCATCAAAATTGTAACAGAAAAAACTAATTGTAAGATATTTCATCTAAACACTAACGAAATGTATCTTAAATAATTATGTAAGAAATTGTTAATATTTATGGCAAGTACGAGTGTAAAAATTAATGAAGTAATTAGGTTTGTTATTTAAATAAAAACTAAAGAAAAGATTTAGATCGATAAATCGATAAACGTAGTATCGTAATAGGTAATAGATTTAAGTTTACACAAATTCTCATTAATAGTAGTCAACTAAAACACACTGCAAATTATTCAATCTTCATCTAGCGTCGGTTAACTTCGTATATTGACATACCACTTTACAACCGCTTGCCTAGCTACGATGAGTAAGCAATTGGGTGAATGACATTTATTATGGTGTTGGTTCGGTACCACAAATTGAACTTTCCTTCCGCCTGAACGACCCATACATATCCCCCTCAGTATTCACGAGCAAAAGGAATTTTTATTCCTTGCTTGAATCGATCCATCGAACGCCATTCAATTGATCCATTCGCAAGAATACCTTCGGGGACTACTCAACGACTCCGATTTTATGAATTCTATGAACCGGATAAAAATCTTCTCTTTGCTTCATTTTTGGAGAAAAATATCGACAAATTTGTCGAACATTCTATTAAAAAATGAAAATATGTGCATCTACGGTATCTCTCTCGAAGTTAACTTGAAATTAAACTTTACCTCATCAGTTCACATCGAGGACTTTAGTGACTCATGTGCACGATAGCACAGTAGCAACGGGTGAAGTCATAGTTCGTGGTAAGACACAATACCAAGTCGCTACGTTACGTCGGCTGCTCGGGGAAATAGTTTGGAACATTGTTAATCCGAAACCGATATATGTTGCCGCGAGGTATTTTCGCCGATAATAACCACTAGCGAGTGAAAGAGAGAACAAGGCAGATAGTACGAAGGAGATGAAGGGAAAAAGAAAAAGACGAAGTGAAAAGGAAGACGAACCTTTCGCGGTCACGAAACAGCAACGGCGCAACGTTTGAAATTTTAACGACCCTTAACGGAAGATGAAACGAGCAAGAGAGAAGCCATCATCGCTGTCGCTTGCTACGATCATGCTTGATTTTTTCAAAGTACTTGCCACTTTCTCTTTTTCTCTTTCGCTTATCCAAGTTATCGACATTTTAAATTAGAAAGATATCGCGATATGAAAAATTGTACGTTTCGATGAAATATTTAAGAGCGTATCTATTTTTCGAATAGGACTTTTGTGAAGGTAAGGGAAAATCGCGTTTAAAGGAAAAAATAATAATAAAAGGAAGAAATAAAGGAAGAAAAGTTAAAGTAGATATAGAATGCCGCGTACACACGTGTATGTATCTAGGTCTAGGTATATTGTATATTTACGTGTACGCGCGCGTAGCTCGTGCAGTGTCCTTTGCCTTCCTTCCATCCGTTCGATCGGCCGTATGTTCGATACGTCGCTTCTGCATACACCCACGTATCACGATCGTAAGTGTATTTGCGCACAGTTTGTGTATATGCATCTATGTATGTACTACGTTTGTAGTTATGCATGTAACTTCGCATCTGAACAAGGAATTGATGCGAGAATGACGTTAACGCAAAACGATGCGACGGGAATACGATGAACGTCGGTTCTTAATCGATAGAAATGTTTGTAATGGTGATAAAATGTGCATCTAACGTAAGATCGAAAGATGACGGTGTAACGTTAGAAATGTCCGCGTAGAAAATTCAAGCGCACATCATATCAAACTTGTCGATTGTTAAGGAAATAAAGGTCGAGGATGGAACGACCGGTCGAATAATGTGCTCTATGTCACACGTTCCCACGTTAACATAAACATCCTATCTATTACTTCTATTAATATCTTCCCTATAATTACCATTTTTGTACCGACTACGGTATATCGGAGAAACCCACATTTGTAAATGGCTTTCAACGTTAACGCAAATATCCAAGAAAAATCATAAGAGTTAGGTTCAGGGATAATACCTCTATGATATTGCAGTTCCAGAATCGAACCCAAACGACAAATTATATTTTGATTTCTATATGCTTCAATGATCCTACTTAAATTGTATTCAACAGCTAAAAGAGACAGCTTTTACCGATACATATGGTATGATCCATTTCTATAAATTTTGTTACGTCGCAACACTTCTTATTCCGACTACTTTCTCGAATAGCATGCCATTATGTTAAACGAAAAAGGAACAGTAACGTGCACACCGGTGTATACAGCTACATATTCTTTTTATTTTTCTATGTTTTCTCGCGAATAAAAATAAAAGTAAAAATCTTGAAAATGCGTAAATTTTTTTATCGATATACTATACACAAAATAAAAACATAGGAGGAACCCTTGAACTATGATTTTGCCGGAGGAATTTACTCGTACTACTCGAAACAACGTTCTTTTATTCTGTAAGATCCCAGCGATTACACTTTTTACCTTCGATTTATTGGAAAACTCGTTGCTGTAGGGTTAAACAAAGCTAACAATGAGTCTTTGAACGATGAAAAAACGAAGCTTAGCGAGGCTACGTTGTTACACGTTGTCGTAAAAAGTGTAGCACACATTTGAAAGTTTTATTTAAATTATTATCTACGTGCGTTGTCAATGTCAAATAAATTTTGTATCGATCGGGAAACATAGTTAATTTTCAAAGATACCACTTCTCTTCGTTTTCTCATTTGACCAATAAGTTTCTAACATTTACGAGCTCCGATTTCTAACTTATGAATATTGAATAACGATTTACTGGCCTCTCTTTAATGTATCTTCAGCTGCATTTTAACGTGATATCTTGGGGATGGTTTTAAAGCAACACGAAATAGTAGTTCAAAGGAATACAATCTCGTATAAGGACGGACAATCGAGACACTGATTAAATTTAACGAAAATAACCCCCGTAGACCGTGGAAATATTTACGTTGCCTCGATTTTGCGCAGATTGCACCGTCCCGCTTTGGTACACCGAGTGAAACCAACGTGGTGAGAAGACACGAGATACTTCTCTTCGTCGAAAACACGACGCGTGACGTCAATACCGAAACAGAAAACTGACTTTCTTCCTACTTAAGTTTCACCATTGATACTCACCTTAGAAGCTTTTTTGCGAAAAGAAATGCTAACGGATGAAGTTCGTAAATCGAAATACGATAAAGCAGCAGCCCTGCATCAATCTTGAAACATCGCCTATCATCGACTACTTTTTCATGATTAACGTATCTACCTATTTGATTACATCAAACGTCAGATACATTTTTTTGATAATAAAATATTCTAAACAAGTTCGACTGTATTATTGCGAACAAGTAGGTACGTATGTGTATCAACAAAATCGCGGATTAATAACGGCAGATAAAAAGTAGATAAATAAAAAATAAAACAAATAATATCTAGCAAGAAATTCAGAGTATTTAGAGGTTTTATGAGAAATGAATGTGACAGAGAAGGTCGAAAAAATGGTTGATATTAAAGGAGAAATGTCATAACGCATTCTAAAATCGGGTCGCCTATTAAGAGCCAAACGCACTCTCTAGAAAGCCTCGAGCTTGTATCCATGGGTGTTAAGATTAAAGCGTCGGTGAGATTGTTGATATGTACTACTACTTGGTAGATATGTACGACGATAGACACTACTAACCATACGCGCCAAAAAATTAGTCGGAAGTTAGTACTTCTTTTGTAAAGAATCACATTGCATTGGACGTGACTTTGGAGAGCTTTAACGAGGTAGAAAGAAACGGAAGTCGATTGATCGGTGAGAAACTAGAGAAAGCCTTTGAGCCGGAAAGACGATGAAAGCCGCTCGGAAGCTGTCGTTTCGCGATTTAAAAGAGAGACAAAAAAAGAAATACGTCGGACGTCGGATAGGACGAGAGCCTCGCTTGTGTAGCGAAATTCGACGAGTCGTCGAGAGTTCGTCGTTACGATTTCATCGTGGGGATATGAAAGAATAAAAAAAAAAATAAGAAAAAAAATTAAGGAATAAAAAGAAACTCACCCGATGCAGCCAGGGCTATCGCCGCCATGAGTGTCCAATGTCTCATGTTTGCAAAGATAGAAACCGAGAAGCTCGCTCCTTTCTCGACCACAAGCACCACCACAAGCACCACTACCGGCTGCTCGCTGCTTCTTCTCCTCCGGCTAGTCTTCCTCCACCTCCTCCTCTTCCGCGTCCTCCTCCTCGTCCGGTTGTCTCCGCACGTGGCTGCAGGCGCGCCGAATAAAAGCGAACCGCTTAGACTCTCTCGACGACGATGGAAAGAAGCAATCCTCTTTTTTTCACCTGCTCCTGCTCCTTCTTCTTCCTCTTCCTCCTCCTCCTGCTCCGACTCTTCCTTCTGCTCCACTCTAATCTCAGGGTCCACCGAATGGTCGCAGATACCTCGAGCACGCCACTGACATCGTTCTTCCCGTTCTTCTATCGGGGGCACGTGATCGTGTCCACCACCGACGACGTACACCAGCAGCAAGAGCAACGTGTCCCTTCTTCTCGTATGCCGCCGCGCACGCACTAAGCCGGAGAACCACCGAAGCGCTTCCCTCGTGCTGCATCTTGCTGCATCGAGGACATATCTTTATTCCTCTCTCTTATTCTCAACCTTCCTTCTATCAGCTTATTCACGATAGCCGATTTTCACCGCGAGTTAGCTAATGCTCAACGCTAAAAGTAGAATCGAACGGAACCAGGAAGGTGAATCGTTAATCTCGCGATTGGACTCGACGAGGAGCCTTTCCTTCGTAAAATTTCTCGATCATCAGATCGAGCAAGCCGGCTACCTAGATACAATGTACCCTGTTTTCACCGAGCTCCGGAACGTTCACGATCGTCAGCAGTGGCAGCGGCGACGGCGGCAGCAGCGCCCGGACGCCGTCGTCTCGACTTGGCTACCCTTCATCGTTACCCTCTCGTCACCCTCACCACTACGTTACCGTCTGCGTCTTCGTCCTCGGCCTCCTCGTCTTTCTTTCTCCCTCTTTACCTACTCTTCGGCCCTACCACAATTTTCTCAACCCCTTCGATTCCCCCTCGATCTCACGAATGTCGTCGAGTCTTTCTCTCTACCTCTTTCTCTATCTTCAAAATACTGACATCAATGCCAGATACGTCCTCGCCGGCGGCCAACGCTGGACTGATTTTCATTTGGCTGCAGCGCCGCGCGGTATCGCCGCCACAGTTCTCTTTGGCGCTAGCGCTCTGGACAGATACGGGACTCCACCACCACCACCACCACCACCACCACCACCACCACCACCACCGTCGCCACCACCACCGTCGCCACCACCACCGTCGATGCACCTCCTCTCCTTCGTTCATCACTTTCTTTCCCTCTTTCTTTCTTTCTCTCTCTCATCCTCTCTCTTTCCTTTATCCACTCGTTAACCCCTTTCTCTCTTCAACCTAGCATCTCCTCCCTCTCTGTTCTTCAGACGCTCCCTCTCTGGTTCACCCCACATCTCGTCGTAGCATAACGGTACGGCGGGGTGACGGTATATCCACACCGTACGGATCTCTCATTCTCTCCCTTCGCCTACCTACTACCCTCTCCCACCCTTCTTTTGCTATAGTGCATGCCAACATCGCCGGAGAAGAGAGAATCGTTACTATGGCGAGATCAATATGATAGGACGGCGCATGCCTCGGTATCCTTATACTTGAACCCTTCGCCACTACTCACGCTACCCACGTCTTTCTCTTTCTCTTTCTCTTTCTCTTTCTCTCTCTCTCTCTCTCTCTCTCTCTCTCTTTCTCTTTATATCTCCCTCTCTACCTCCTCTTCTCCACCACCCTTCCATCTCAGCGCGCAGAGCAAAACGTGTGCCGGCGGATCGTAGGTGAGCACGACGTTGACTCAAGTCACTTCAGTCAACAGAGAGGTTCCTATGCGGGAGGACACCGTCTTCCATTCCTCTTAACGCCTCTATGCGCTGATTTTCTTCTACCCTTATCTTTTTGACACTACTTTTCCTTCTTTCCTCTATGGTCCTTCCAACGTTGTGTTCTAATTTTCTTCTGCCACGATTCAATTTACAAAATCGTATCGTCAAAAGAATACCCTTTGTTAAGAATCGATCAACGTGAATAAAGGAATTGATCAGAAGAAATCTATCCTTTCCAATATTAATACTTTCCTCGAAAAATATTATATCTAGTGTAATCGTAATTTGTTTAACATTCCTACCCGTTTTATCTAACCCGTTTGATTTAAATGCTCTTGAGTATTACCGAGGCATACCTGCTTGTTTCTCCATCAACAGACAGTTCATTAACAGTTACTATTAGCCACTAGTAAATTTAAGTTAAGTAATTCGATTAAGAAATGCTCGAATGAAATAATTATTGTACGAGCAAGTAAATGATAAATCGATATAACATAACACATAAAAGCATTTCCGATGGTCCAATGTTAATCGATAATTATGTTTCCTCTCTATCTTTCAGTACGCTAATTATAATTGCCCAAAGTTTAGCGATAAGCGATTTAACCATAGGAATTTCAGATTTTAGGCGAAATACATTTCGAGGAATAGTTTGAAGCATTTGAGAGGCCGATGAGGGTAGTGCAATGAGCAAGGAGTGTATACTTCCAAAGTTACATACAACGTGCAATTTCGCATTAACCATTAGCACAGTTACGTATAATTGGACCAAAGTCTACTATTCGCTGTCTTTCGTGAACTTAAGATTTCTTTTAAAGCCCGTAAGAACACTATCATTACGAAACTCACGAGTTTCAAATAAAATTAACAGGAAATGCCGAATGAGAAAAGGCGCGTTATTACATAGCACGTTCTTTCAACAACATCCTTTCTGCGGTTAATGATCTTTTTCTCGAAATTACATACACTTTTATTTTTTATTTTTCGTCGTTTACCTCGCCGTCGAAATATGAACAAAAAACCATCTGCATTGCGAAAAGACGTTAAGTTCTCCATTATTCAAGACACTGAAAAAAAAAAAATAAATCGAACGCTAACGAATCTTAAATATCTATGCGGTTGATAGCATATATATATACGTATATTCCTTTCGATAGAACAATAAGGTGAGAAATTTGGAGCATTAACAATTAATATCAAAACAGGGTCGTGATAAAAATCATTGGCAAATTGCTTCAGTGTCTTACCTCAATACTTTGCTTCAAGAGTTTATGTTAAACGTCACCTGCAAAGGAAAGTGTAAGTACTTACTTACAAATTGTCTTCCCCCTCATACCGACACGATGTCAAATACATTTAACTTACCAGAAAATATCTACAACATTCAGTTTCAGTTAAGACATAATTAGATAGTTTGAAAAGCTGTCGAAGAGACCGTCGTCGACTTCAAGCCCACGCGCGCGACCTTTTCAGTACTTCATATTTTACGTAACACGTCAACGATAATATTCACAACGGATGATCCGATTAAAATGATCAAGTTAAACAATATATATAATTTCGAATAATCCCCTATCGTTTGTAAGATTTGTTTTGTTCATTAATTTCTTAGGTATATACGATATCACCATTAATTCCTACAACTAGTACAACCTTCTCCTTTCACGAAATCTGACACCAATTCATAATTACATCCAAGTCATTATAAGCAAGTGCACCGTTAAAATGACATTAAATTTACGTCTCCGTTAAATCTACGATGCTTGCTTGACGGATTTGTTAATCTAACGAGGTAAATTATCTAATCTCATTCTATAACTTATATTTCTTATATCTTTCACGGTCAATCTAATAGATTAGACAAAATTGAATTACAGACTTATATTTTGAAAATATTCTAGAATTGCCGGTAAATGTACATTTACCAGATGTCTGCTCGTTAATAACATTTATAAAATAAAAATTCATGTTAATACGATTAACTTATAAACTAATTTTCATAACAATAGTCTACAATTATAATCTTTCGAATATTTTATTTTACGCAACACATAACAATGATTAAATATTTGTAAAGAGATTCGATTAAAATCTTATACTTGATCCCTATTACTTGTGATTACTGTTTCAAATAATCTCTCTGAAACTTGGTAATAATCATACGCGAACCATACGGCTTTACTTTATTTAAATATAACTTTTCTGATACAGATAAACGATACATTAGCTCGATTTATTCAGAATTACGAAGAAATAAACGTACACCTCTGTTTGAGATCGATGTCAACGCTAAAACATTCCTTTAACATCTTTCAACTCAAAGGAATCTCTTGGGTTACATGATAATACGTACAAACGCTTTCAAAGAACTTACAACAACCTGTCGCGCCGTAACGCACTTGGGAAAACCTGGGACGTGTCATCAAATGTTTCAAGAAAATAAATCTCTCAAGCTATAACTAGAAATACCTTGTCGTACTTAGTTTTCCAGTGAATTTTTGAAATTCCCTCGAGAAATATATGTATACTGTAAATGATATCGATATGTTATAGAAAATAATGAGATATACTATGCCACTTTTAGATGCGACATTTGTTATAGAATATATAATTTAAAAGTTATTATAAATGAACATTTTAAGCGCCTTACTAGACTTACATATATGCTGCCATTAAAATTATTTTTCATGTAAAATATTGCAAAAATTTGACGTAAATGCATATAGTAGAAAATCATGTCCGACACACAAAAAAAACAATTCTGGAAAAAATGCTAGTCTAATTGAATATAATTTTAATCATGCTACAAGTCATTTTACATCACACATATTTTTCTTATTTACAGAAAATATCACATTTACTAATCTGATACGAAATAAAGAAAGAGAAAACAAAAACTTCTTACCCCGTATTATACCGCAATCGTCACATAGTTAACATTTAACAGTACTTTTTAAAAGATTGTTATAGACATTATCGATAGTGCATAAGAGAGAAATTTACAAATATTATGTAAGGATGTCGCTAGTATGATAATCTAAAAGAAGCAAATATAAACAGTATGAAGCAAAAAGAATTTGGCATAGAACCGCAATAGCAGAAAAAAATAAATAAGCGCTCCTAATTTCTCACTAATTGCTCAATCAAAATCCACATATATAATGGCTCACTTTATTAATTAATTATTTAATTAGTTATTAATAATTGAAAAATATTAAACGTTTTTTCTCATTTCTAAGCAAAGCAATGAAGTTTTCTATTGTTTTTTGTTTTCTATCAATTGTTCACTTTTTGTTTGTCCGGCTCCTCTCCCAACTTTATTTTATTAAATATTTTTTATTTATCGTTAATTAGTTGAAAATAATTATTACACTTTGAATAATTATGAAATGGTGACCTCACGAGTAGGGGATATGTTGTACGCATGCGCATCAACAATTCAAGGCAAAAAAAATGAAAGTAAAGTTGGCATACCTGCAGGGGATATATTTAAAAGTGATTTCCAAAGTAACAACCTATAAGGTAGTGAAATGAAATAAGTTAATCGTTCATAATGTATAAACAATAGGTAAATATTTTCATTTTTTTCATTTCTTTCTGCTGTTGCGGTTCTATGCTAACTTTTTTGTGCTACAGTAAGTATATCTGTAAATTGCTAGAAAAACAATTACTAATTTTTTTAATTTGTTAAAACAAAAACAAACGTAAACTAATATTTTAATAAATATATTTATATAAATATTATGTAAATAACGTCCAATTATCGCAATTAGATGTAAAAAAATGTACTGATGTATTTTTTTGTAGCAAACGTTTAAAAGCAAATCTTTTTCAGGCCAATATCTTCATGAATACTTAAAATTAACTTCAAATTCATTACATTTTATAAAAGTATGAACATTTTTTAATTAATAACAAGAAACAATCACTATCTTACTTTGCAGTAAATAAGTATCGGAAAATAAAACCTTTTAATATCAGGAGCACTTCACAAACAAAAATTACGTAAACTTTATAATATCGTAATAATATCAGAACATATTTTTTTAATTGAATTTAAACAAAATTTGGACATAAATGCTTTATGTAATAAAACAGTTTTATGCGCAATGTTTGTATATAAAATCAATCTTTAAAAAACAAACTATGAAAATGTTTCAGTATATATATATCGATAAATATCTTATTATTACTTTAATAGCTACGACCGAAAAGAGTGTAAAATTTGGGTTTGTTTTTACAACTTGGATGAATACACTTGAAATTGTATAATGGTACAAAAGTTTGTGGCTGTTCAAAAGGTATACAAAGACTTTTTGCACCCATTGATAATGCTCCTGCTTCTTCACCCGCGTCATCTCTGTAATTATAGGAAAATAATATTATCATCACTCACGTAATATTCTATTCCAAATTTGCTATCCTTGTATGTATATAAATATTATTTACATATAAATGTATATAAATATGCATATCAATAACATAAGTTACCTCGCGCTGTCTGCTTTGATATTATCCTCACATGATACCTCTCCACAGAATGGCGATAGTAATAAATTCTTGTTATTTAATTCCACAATAAACAGTGCCCATTCTTCTACTTTCTTAATATGATCATCTAAAGTTTTCTTTGCTCTGTAAAAATTGAATAATTATTTATATTATTAATATTTACTTAACATTGTACTATTTATGACCACAATTTTTCCAAATTTAGCCCATTTTCTATTATAATAATATAAGAATAAATAATAATATATGCACGTACTTGTTTAACATACTAGATTGTATCTCATTAAGTAAATTGCGTAAGAAAACTACAGCTTCCTTCCTACTTGCTGTCGCTTTCTGACAATTGTCCCTACGTACAAATGTCACTTGATTTTTTTCGAGATCTTTGGGACCTAATTCAATCCTCACAGGTACACCTTTCAATTCCCAATGATTAAATTTCCATCCTGGTGTACGATTATTTCTATAATCAGATTTAATTCTTAAAGACTCGTCTTTGCTTAAATCATTCTCAAGTTTAAGACATTCTGACATTAATTGCTCTCTCTGTTGTAGAGTGGTCGTTGCAGTAATACCACATGGTACAATTACAGCTTGAATTGAAGCTACATTTGGAGGCAAAACTAAACCTTTGTCATCTCCATGTACCTAGCAATAAATACATTTTATTGGTTTAAAAATGTAAATATAATTACGCTGTTTTATGTTCTTACTAGCAATATCGATTTTCTTACACAATAAATTTTGGTAATATTCTAATTACTACAGGAATCATATGATATCTAGTATTAATTATAATGAATATTTACAAATATATCACATAATATTACCATGATCATAACTCCAATAGTACGAGTGGTCAAACCCCAGGAATTCTGATAAACGTAAGTTTTTTCCTCTCCCTCAACAGCTCCTTCAATTTGAATATTAAACATTTTCGAAAAGTTTTGTCCAAGGTGATGACTAGTGGCACCTTGTATTGCTCTTCCACTAGTTGAAATAAATGCTTCTACAGTAGTTGTATAATCACTACCAGCAAATTTTTCTTTTTCAGTTTTACGGCCTTTAATTACTGGCACAGCTAATAAGTCTTGATATACTTTAGCATACATATCTAAAATTACTAAGACTTCTTCCTCGGCATCCTTTTTATTAGCAAATACTGTATGTCCTTCTTGCCATAAAAATTCCCTTGTACGTAGAAATGGTTTAGGATCTTTAAACTCCCACCTCTATAAAATAAATTATTTAATATCATTTATAGAATAAGAATGCAATAAATTAACTGAAATTTATTCATATTTATGATTATAAATCTATAATTACCACAACGTTACTCCATTGATTGAGTCTGAGTGGAAGTTCTGTATCCGATCTTATCCATTTAGCATATGCCGGATACATGACTGTTTCTGAAGTAGGTCGAATAGCAATATGTTCTGCCATATCAGAATCTCCACATCTGGTAACCCATGCGACCTCCGGGGCAAAATCTGCAATATGAGCTTTTTCCTTTTCAAGTGCTGCTCGTGTTACAAACATTGGAAAGTAACATTCTTGTATTCCTAATTTTGTTATTTGTTTATCGAAATATTCCTTTATTGCCTTCCAAATCAGGAAACTCCATGGACGAAGAATATAACAACCTGATACATCATAATATTCAATCATTCCACTCTTTGTAATAACTTGAGAGTACCAATCAGCAAAATTTTCTTCTTTTTGTGCTTCTAATCCTAATCTTGTTCCAGTTTTAATACTATCTACATCTTTACTCTTTGTTTCATTATTTGTCATATTTTTATCAACTTTCTTTCCACTTTTTGCAGATTCATCTTTCTTTTTCTTTTTAGGTGTTGTCTCATTTTTTGACTTCCAATCAAAACCTGTTATTATTTTATAATCATTCTTCAAACTTAAAAGAATTTTCACTTCTTTATCAATGATAGATAGTTCTGTTCCTGTAATTTTTTTTAATTGCCTTACTTTGTCATCCTGTTTCTGTATTTCTTCAAATAATTTATCGTTAATTTTATTTTCAATTGATTTTGAAGTTGCATTAGTTTGTTCGGATTTCATTGGCTCCCATTCTTGACCTGTTGCAG